ACAATGAAAATTCTAATTTCAAAATAACCTATATAGTGAGTTAGACTCTGTGCACATCTAGACTAAGGGCAGGATTGTGACAGTGACCATAAACAAATGCCCAAAGGAGAAAACGACTGAAGTGTGTATGATGCTAATTAACTTGTGGAGGTAACATACTATACTGGTACAGCTAAGGCAAGAAATTGTTTGCAACACTATGCATTTTGGACAGTCTGGTATCTGATCCTAGTCATATTCCAGGTCGGTTTTATTCTATTATTCTAATTCAGGTCTTGCTGAATTAGGAATTTATCTGTGACATTTATTTCAGGACAGTGTATACTGCTTGAACTTGTCTGTATACGTGTATGAAACATGAACATCAAAACAGGTGAATAATGCTGAATTTAGGTCAGAAATAAGAGACGTTTTCAGGCATATGACTCCAGGATACCTCACCCAGCATGGACTGTGTCAGGTAGGCAGTGTATGTTACCTGATTGCTGTACCTGAATGTAGCAGTCAGGGCTGCACAGCCACCTGCTGCAGGGCCAACTCACCACTGTTCAAAAGGAATTCCTTTGGAAAGTCCTAGGATTCTGTTTCAGGAATGCACGTGGTGCTTTTGTATGTGATGGGATGGCAGTGTATGGTAGCTGGTTGAAATTCTGACATGAGCTAACATGCAGTAGCCCTCCTTTTCCACATACCTTGGTCATCAAAATGGAGAGCTACTACTTTTGTGTAAGGAGTCTTTTGGGTCTTCCTGACTACTGCTTTTTTTGACTGTCAGGCTCATTTTTGGTATTATAGTGAGTGGTATCTTGTATTTCCATTAACCACCACTATTCAAGGAATTGTGAGGATTTTTGGTTGATTCAGACTCTGGTTTTCATTTGCTTTTAGACACCAAGGTAACGGAAAGTTTATAAATACTTGAAGCAGGTAAATAATTCAAATATTTCAAATAATTTTAAGCTCCGAGAGTTTTCTTAAAGGAAAAACAGCACAGTTTTCAACATTACAGGATTTTGAAAGCTTGGTTTTAATTTTTTTGATAATGATATTCAGGAAATGCAAATTGGCAATTTATGCAAAAAAGGTCAACTTTAGGGTTTTTTTTCCTCTCATTCCTTCTCAGAATAACTTAATTTGTGAACATGAAAACACTAGAACAACTGCACGTGGTCTCACCAACAAAGAGACACAATTTGAACAGCAAATAATATTCTACTTAGAAGCATAAAGGCTGGAAGTACATTGATCTTTTTTATTCATGCTATACTGAAAACTTCTATCAAACGTAGACAACAGGGTGTTAACTTTATTCTCATCCTGACACTTTACGCACCCAGAGAGTGCAAGAAACTAATCGCTAATACTTGTTTCACCTGTCTGTATGTGCCTTGCAATGTGAAGATCTTCTAAGGGGAGAAATAGCATCAGTGTTTGCAAAGGTCTGCAGAATCAGAGTGATCCTACTGCTCTGTGTGTGGTGATTAGGCAGTGTACAGTTAGTTAGCTGTTCTTCAGACACCAGCAACTGGCTGCACTGCCACATTAACACATCACTGTTGAGACAAGAGTATAAACACTGCTGTTATGATGGTCTCATTGGATCCTTAGCTGGTATGGGGTTTACTGTCTGCCCAGTTCTTCTGCCAGAAAGTAGCTGTGCCAGGTTATGCAGACTGAGTGTACTTAAGGTACAAAATAAAGTATAACGAAAGGTATGAAAGTGTAACTGTGTCACACACTTACACAGCTAACCCAGTTGGTTTATAAAGAATCCACTAAATTATGTAAGCATTAAGTAAGAGTTTCAGGTTTGAACCCTATGTATGTTTCTCTTACACAACCAAATGCCCAAAGGAGCATTGATGTGTTGGTTCAGCAAACAAGCATTTTGTGATAGTACTTGAATTAACAGGAAAATGTACCACTGGTGACTGAAATGGATTTAGAATATTTGCACTTCCAGGAAATTTTTTGGAAAGAGAAAATAAGGATTTACCAGACCTAAGGAGTGAGGAAAAGCATGAGATAGGAATGAAAGGTTAGGATGAAGGATGCAATAGGTTATGCTCAAATGGAGATTGTGCTGGTATGAGTTGAAGTAGAGTTAACTTTCTTCAAACTGGCTAGTGTGGAGATATGTTTAGGATTTGTGCAGAACACACAGCTGATAATGTAGAGATGTTTTTGTTACTGCTGAGCAGAGCTTAAACGGAGCCAAGGCCTTTCCTGTTTTCTGTACTGCCACACTGTCAAGGAAGTTGGGGGTGCATGGGAGATTGGGAGGAGACACAGCTGGGACAGGTGACCCAAACTGATCAAAGGGATATTCCACACCCACCATAGGACATCATGCTCAGTATATAAGGTGGGAGGAAGAAGGAGGAAGGGGGAACACCTGGAGTGATGGTGTCTGTCTTCCCAAGGAACCGTTACACATGATGCACCCTGCCCTACTGGAGACGGCTGAACACCTCCTGCCCATAGGAAGCAGTGACTTAATTCCTCGTTTTACTTTGCTTGTGTGTGCAGCTGTTGCTTTCTCTATTAAACTGTATTTATCTCAACCCATGAATTTATCTAGCTTCTACCCTTCTCTTCCCTCCTCATCCCTTCCAAACTAGAAAATGATACTGCACCGTTTATCTTTCACAGGGTATTTAAAGAACCCAAGTGAAATTTCCTGTATGCTGAATACTCTCAGGCAATACCAGGATTAAAACAGACTTTCTTTCTTTTTCAGGAGTTCCACTAAGAGCAACCAACATTTCTTTATACCTACCCTTTTTATTCGCTGATACAAAAACCAGGGAGCTATAGCAGTGCACATGAATGGACACGGATGTTTCAAACATTTCATGTAAACATTGTTTTAAACATTTTCATGTAAAGATATCCACCTCTTAGGGGAAAAACATTGTGGCCTGCTGCTGTTCCATGACTGCTGCCAGTGAGGGGAGAGGGGCCATATCTCAGTTTCCTTCCTGCTCCATCAAAGCAGCAGAGACATGTGAAAAAATCACCTGACATGTGCCACTAAATGTTCGCAAGGCTGGAACTGTACATGCAGGAGGAGACTGGAGTGAAATACAGGACCTCAGCATAAGAACAGGAACTGTATTTGTGGATGTGAAATTTGGAAAGTGTGCGAGCCGTTGAAGCTGAACAGTGAAGACCAGAAAGTAGATAATGAGCTGCTGATACTAAACAGCAAAAGCTGAAGAGTAGGTAACAGGAATCTGATGGACCATGTGAGGAGTTCCTAAGTTGGGGCATGGGAATGAATGGCTTTTATCAAAACACAAGCATGGGCACTATCTGTGGTGTGTGTCTGTTGGTCAGGGACACCTGGACACGGAATTGCTCATTTATGAGGTCATCCTATTTGGCTGCATATTTGGATCCTTATCTGTCTAGTTCAAAAGTAGCAGTAGAAAAATAAAACTCACTCTCCTGTCTTGGTCGCCCCATATGGAGCAGAGTTGTTTTTCTCTCCTCTTTGCCCCCCCTTCCCCTTTTTTCTTCTCCTTTCAGTTGCCACATGCATTGACAGATTTGATGCAGAATCTTGCGGGCAAATAGCTCAGAGGTTGGTCTAAAATACCACCAGCAGGCTCATTTGGACTAACAAGATCCTTACATAGTCCTTAACTGATCTATGAAAGTTAGAGTGGCTAAAATTGTCATGCATTAGGTTTGAGTTCCCTTCCAAAATGATGTTTGTCATTATTGAAGGTGATTTTTTAAATCTTCCACATCAGTATCATTACTCAATCTTTAAAACTCTGCGTCCTTATTCCTCAGGGTTTGTTTGGTTATTTTTTTTCTGATGAAATTTTCAATGAATTCTATGCATGAATAAAAGATACCTTTTTTATTTTTTTTTAAATTGTTTTTGATTTTATCTCCTTTTTAACACAGTTAAGTGACTATCTTCATTGGAAAAAGTTTTGAAGCACATTAGGTATTTTCAGTTGCTGTTAGTCTTACAAGAGACCAGCCTAATCCTACCTATTCTTTTTATATAGAAAACTCTTCTGAGACACAGGTTTCTCTCATTTTTATTCTCTCAGCCCTCCTTTAAGACTTGGACAGCTGGAGTTACATGACTTATTCAAATTTGCCATGTCCTTTCTTCAAACAGATAAATCAAAGCACTTGCAGTTTGTAAAAGAAGAGTAGAACAGAACTGGAAATGGGTTTGCAGTTACATGTGGATTTGGGGAGATTGCAAGGTGAGAAGAGTCAGGCTTGAACCATGAGGTTGGGGCTTCAGCCACTTCCTCTTCTTCTAGCTCTGCCTGATGACTTGTTTTATTCTAGAGATGGGAAGTAGATAGATGGCTGGGGAGCCTTGTCTTGGTCTGCCTCAGAAGGATGTCTGCTAGGGTGCAGGCTCTTTATTTTTGTTGCCCTTAAATCTTTCTGTAAACAACCATGTATACTCACACAGGCCCTGCCTTTGTTCAGCCTAGAAGACTGGGAATCCAACAGGAGAGGAGCTCAGAGCCGAGGTACTTTACTGCAGCAGAAATGTATGGAGATGCCTAAAGAGTTTAAAGGTGCTGCTGTAAAGGTGAAATGTAAGATGAATCAATATATAAAGCAGACAAGGTCACATTTTTGCAATTTTTCTTTTAATATTTTTATTTTGTATGTACTTTTTTTACAACTGACCGCTTCACAATTCAGTAGTCTTCCTTGAGAAGATACTGCAAAGCTGGTAACTTCAGTTGCATTTGTGTCTAAAACCCTGCTATGGATGTCTCTGGACCAAATGTCTCTCAGACAGGGCAATTATGTGTAAATGGAATGTCAAAATCTGTTTGTTACTGGTAGATGAGAAAAAAACACCTCTGCTAATACCAAGGAATTTATTAATAAGTGTGCTGGTGACAATTGTAAAAAGCTATTTTCAGCAATTAAATATCCCCAACATTCAGACATCTTGTGCAAATTGAAGGTCCATTCCTGCAAGGTATTGAGTGCCTTGCCATCTCAGTAACCTCAGGAGCTCTCCAGGCCATAGCAGGAGCCAATCCAATGTTATTAGATGTAGTGTAGCTGAAAACACCAACATTAAAGAATAGTAAAATCACCTGATAGTTTAGCTTCTAGCAACGTTTCCCAGGAATGTAGTAAGGCTGCGTACTCATGCCTTCAATGGATTCAGTGTGAAGGGCTTTTTTAGAGGTCTTCTCTTTTTTTCATGATAATCTGCCTGATTAATGATGCTACTTCTGGCTTGATACTTTCTATTGGCTCTTCGGGTCTCCAGAATTTCATAACTTTACCTTCAGGGTTGACAAGGTACTTCCAGAAATTCCATCGAGGCTCTTTCTTTGAAGAATCTGTGAGGATGGCATCACATCATTTTAGTGACTTACATTTGTAATTGTTTCAATGCCCTGGATTGATTCTTCAACTATGTATGCTGAGGTAATCCTGCCTTGTTCTCAGCTAGTGGCCTGGGCGTGATTGCTATTAATGATCTGAAAAGTGGGAAATGTATGATGCTCTCCCCTTCCTGTGAAACTGTTTAAGAGTTCCTACTTTTACTGTGCTCTGCTTCTTAGGGAAGATGATATGAGGGCTGTATATTCATTCAGGGAATCCCCAGTTTTATGCCAGTTTAGAGGAAGTGAAATGGGAGCAGGAAGTCATACTGGTGATGGATTTATTAGCCTGCTTCTACCTGGCAAGATAGTTTCTGAGATAAAGGGACTATCAGGAAACTACGTGGCTTCTAGTGGAGGTAGAAGCAGTTTCTTGTCTCTGGCTTTCTCCTTGGAGTCTCACAGCTTTAGAGAGAAATCTCTCCCTGAGAGAAGAACTAGAAGAAAACTCCAGGAGATTCTGACTGGGAAACAGGTGTCCAGTGAGGAACAGTGCTGAACCCTAAACTGATTTCTGGAAGCAATGGGTTGAAGGTTGCCACTGGACTACATTTGTAATGTCATGACTGTAAGGGGACACCATGGCAAGCAAATGGGTATGGTAAACCTCATGTCATGGAGGCTTTGGCCCAGCTAGTAATTATATATTCGCTGAAATGTTGCATCTAAGATCAGTCTTGAAGTAACATAACCCCATCTCTGTATATTCTTCAGTGTTCATCAGTGCATATGAACAACATGCAAAGAACAAACTCCTAAGAAGCGGGACATTATTAGGGGAAAGGTGAGGACACAAAGATTGTACTGGCCCAACAAAATGCCTTACTGCTATGAAAGCAACAAGCAGCAGCAGTTGTGTCAAGGTCTTGGCACCACCTTTATGCTGCCAGTGGATTCCTTTTACACTGGACTGTCTAACAGTGCTGGACAAATTGTAGTTAGCAACCACAGGCACAAGAGGGAGGTGTAGCATGACAATGTTCAACCCGATTATCAAGACAGCTATGTGAAGAAAACAGGTATTTAACTGAAGATGCACAGTAGTTTCATGTGAAACAGAGGAATGTGGGAAAAGATATAAAATGTTAAACAAAATATTTAAGTACAAGAGTATCTTTCTCCTTCTTGTGGGTGAACAGCATGTCAAATAAGAAAAAGCTGAGTAAATGTATTTTTCTTTATGGGTATTAATGTTTAATGCACTGGTGTTTGTAATCTGGATTCATCCCACACAGCTGGTATGCATGTGCTCTAGTCTCCTCTATAGAGAAATGAGAGAGCACTCAATAATTCCACTGGACATCAGGTAACTCAGGGTAACAAGGATTTACCTGAGCCTTTTGGTATCATGCCTAAGAGGAGGTAGGAAAAAACCACAGTAATGATGGCAATGGTGACCACTAAATATTAAGTACGTAAGAGGTATCACGGAGGATATGGCAAGAAGCAACACTTAAGTGTTTTAAAAAGTATTTCATTTAGACATTGGAATAGCTTTCTGACAAGAGGAGCTGTGAAAAGCTGCAATAGGCTGTGAGGTTTTGGAATCTCTCGTACGACTACTCTAACAGCCTGGAGAAGCATACATCATACTGATCTGGGTAACTGTGATTCTGTTTTGGACAAGGAGATGGAATACAGGTTTGGGCTTTCTTCTACCTTATTTTCTAATTAAAAATGATGTGATAGAGAAAGATTATGTTATAATTATTCTTACTTTCATATGTCAGTGTTTAGTATGGGTCAAAGACCTGGCCTAAACTCAGGAAAATTCAGAAAGGGTTTTCAAGTGGGGTTTCAGTCTATGAGCTCTTTGGTCAAATGAAGAGAGAGTTTAATTTTGCTTGTCAGAATATGAGGCTCTAAGTCACTAACTGCTTTCTGTAACAGGAGTATTTGACAAATGAACAAAAATCAGTGATTATACATAACTACAGTATTTATAATCCTGATTTACAATGCAGTTTGCATAAAGGTGAACATATTACTGCTAAAAATGGAATCTTCTCATCCGCATGTGTTTATGTAAATTATTCCAGTTGTTTTATGACCCTCCATAATGACATTTTTGTCCAGCAGAAAAGCTGCTTTTCAGTAAAAGTCACATAATTTGAAATAGGATTTTGTAGGTGGGGATCTTTGCACTCAAGTTTATATACCCACAAAATGGATGTTTTTAGCTGGGCTGGTCACAGTAGGCTGTTCTTATAATCAGTGAGGAGAAACAGATGCTTTCAGGATACAACTTTTCTGCCCATATTTTTGATATCCACATTGAAACGAGATGAATTGTATGCTGAGTGCCTGTTTCCCTCTATAGTTTATGAAGAAGACAATGTTTCCTGACAAACAAACTCAGACTGGAATTCAGTGAGCATACAATAGTTACAGGCAGCTTGATACAGAAAAGAAAACAGTTACCTATTAGGAATTTAAAGGCAGGCTCTGCTTCTGATCCTAGGATCTTGATTTTATGGAAAACAGGGAAGGTTACTCCATAGTTTCCTTTGGCAAAAGATTCTATTTCCGGGCTGGAACTAGGCTCTGATTCTCCGAACTGATTGCAGGGAAACGCCAGCACAGTGAAGTGGGAGGGACCAAACTCTCTGTGCAGCTCTTGCAGTGCCATGTAGTTTTTGTCTGTGTACTGGCAGTAACTGGCCACGTTTACAACCAAAGTTGCCTTCAGAGAAATAAAGTTAGAACAGTAAGAAAAAAGTTATAGATGGTGTAGAGACTGCAATTATCTCTTAAAATGACATCTCTCACTATCACAATGGTTCCTGTCAGAAGGCTAAATTTAATCTGCCTGATCATAGTTTCATTAAACAGAGAAGGATGAAAGCAGACAAAGGTATTTACTTTCAGATAATCTATTTTAAAAATCCAACAAATTGATAAACTTCATCTTACAGCCTTTTTTAAATATAAGCATTTAAAAAGCAGGTATTTAGGACACATACACAAATCATATTTACTAGCTCAACTTCCAGAATTCAACACATGCTACTGTTCTTAACTCAGGCTAAAATGCACCAGTTTCTCTTGTTAGGCTGTATGGATTTATTATAAATAATATGAAGACAACTTTTCTTGATTTGCTAGATCTCATACTTAACTCCTGGAGCAGGCCTAGATAAATAAATGTTTCTCCAGTTTACTGTTTGAAGAACAGGAATTTAGCACAAATCTCTGCTGAAAATTCCTATAAACAAACTTTTTGTTTACCTCCAAATGGACACATTTTTTTTGTCAGTAAAAATTCAAGACAGATATAACGAAATCATGACTTACTTTCCCTCTGTACTTCTCCAAGGAAATGATTCTTCCTCGTGAATCCTTAACTTCGAAAGAATAAAAATCTTTGGTTTTCGGTTTAAAAAATCTGAGTTGGAGCAGACAGAGGACAGTGGTACACAAAACCATGGACAGAAAGACAACAAAGACCCTGGCTTTGGGCACCGAGTATTTCAGAGGATAGGTAGTTGTGAGAGGCTCCATTTTTGAAACTTTTGGAGAGGAGCCTGGGCAGGGCTGGAATGTGTAGGAGGAGCTGAAATACGAAACTTGCAGTTCAGGCTGGAAAGAACAAACTGCTCATTTTTGTCCCTGTTGCAGAAATAGCTGTTCCATATCATAGTGCCTGCTGGGCTTCAGAGCTCTTGGGTAAAGTAGAGAGATCTCTCTGGGGGGAAAGAAAGAAGGAGGAATGAATGAAAAAGGTGTTCCCATCAGCTAAGGGTGCTGATTGTGCTGTTTAACTGTGCTTGTCTGCAGAGTCTTGAGAGCTGCTGGGGCCTCCGATGGGTCTGTAGTGCAGCTCCAGCACATCCTCTGGGCTCCCGTGGTGTCTCTGGCTGAGTTGTTCAGCAGCAGATATCTACACTATCAGACCTGGAGAAGAAGGTTGGGGGGCAGCTGCTCAAGTAGAAAGGAAGGCAGTGTATCTGAATCCAACCTGTTTACAGTCTCAGCCTTGCCTCTCATCAGTAGCTGTGGGATCATAGGCTGATTTATTTGTAAAACTCTTTTACAGTACATGGGGCGGAGAAAAACTTGGTAAAAGAGAATATAATGTGGGTTGTTTTTTTCTTTGTTGTTGCAATGGGAGGGGGCCTGGTGATGGAAATGGGTTGCTTTTTTCATTGCTGCTGACTAACTGGCAACAAGCCATGCTGAGATGGTAAGATTAAAGGTCTGCACGAGAGAACAAAGAGTTAGCTGAGAATCTCAGGTGTAAGCCAAGCAGCTCTAGTGGTGTTTTGCTGAGCCAATTGGGAAAGACACTCTGCACTTTAGAGCCACACTTATCTGTCTTCTTTTTATTGTTTCATATTTTAAAGATTCTTGTGTGTTGCTCTTGTTTCTGAAGGTACATCAACATGTAGTGGTTACAACTGAGTTATGTAACCCCCTGAAATTTTCTGTACATCTTCCCCTCATCAGTTCTTCCCTCTTTCTTTCTGTCTGTTAGCTGGTCCCTCTCTTCCTCTCAGCTTTCAGGTTTTTATTTTGTCCTCTTCACATTTCTGTTCTTGGGGTTTTCTCAGTTATTACTTGTCTTTTGTCCCATGCTGCTTGGCAGTCTCTGCTAACTCTTTTCCTCCCAATCCAAACCACCAGTGAAGAATGATTTCTGTCTCAGTTGTTTTTTCTTACCACCGTGATGTTTTTGCTGCACTTAGATGTTACATTTTAAAGGATGAAAATAAAATGGGATTTTCTGAATGTGAAACCTGGAACGTAGGGGTTTGTTTCTCTTCAGTGACTTCAATATCACTACCGACATTATTGAGTTGTACAATATCCTAGTGGTATGTTCAACTATTTCTATTATATCTAAATAGCTACAGTCTGTGTTCATTTTGTTTAACAAGGCATACTGTTCTACACAGCAGAGAGGTGCTGTGAAATGTCAATATCTGTATCTGAAGTCGTGTTAGGCTTCATCTCTGCCTGGCAGTGAGGGATGTGAGCATGGTGTTTTGGTGGTGGAGACAGAAAAGGCACAGACTTCTGTGCTGAAATGAGCAAAGCTGTGCTCAACAAATAAGCACAGGTGACTAGTGCTGATTTTAAAGGCAAATTTGAATGTGTTTGGTTACAGAAAATCCATGCAAGATCCATCCTGATATTTAAGCTATGTCTCAACAGTTGTAATTTGCATCTAATATTATTTCAGAAATAAATAAACAGAACATCCTACAAAACTTAATATATTATAAATATTTACTGGTGTATCCGATAATGATCCAGAAACTCATTATACCAGCTGTGCCTCCTGTTGTTACACTCACCTAAAACATTACTTAAAATCTGTCTGAAAACTAAAATATGTTGTTTAGTATTATCTAGGCTATTACAGTTCAAATTTTGATACATTCTTCTGTTTTATGTTTTTCTGACACATTGCTCTATTAATGAATTTGAACAAATGCAAATAAAAAAAGTAAATCTGTCATTTAATCTTTGCTCAGTATGCCTTAATTGTAATATTAAGCAACCCAGTTATCTTGGGATTGTCTCCTATCCTTAAAATGAAAGACTAGCCAAGCATATGATACTCACACTGCAATTGCTTAATCATAACTGTCCAGCTACAGCTACTGATTAACAAAGCATAGGATAACATTAAAAATAATGTCATGAGCAGGCTGCAGTGGTGGTGAGCAGGTTCAGAAATCAGAAAAGATGTTAAGTCCTTCTTTGTGCGCAGGTTGGAGAGCCAGCCTGGTTCCAGTCAGCCAGCATGTGGGTTTGCCCTGTGTCCATCTCCCAGGAATGACCAGACCCATGAGCCTGTGCTACATGGCTGAAGGTGGCTGGGGTCCTTCAAAGACCAGTGATGTAGCTTAGTGCGTGAGTGATACAAATTTAGTGTTTTTTTCCCTTGCTGCAGGCTTTCTCTGGCACGGTTGATTCAGGTGTGCTTATCTGACCAGAAACATCCCTGCCTCACTCTTTCTCCACCGAGGTGACTGCCTGCTGAAGCCACCCTCAGCCCAGCAGCCCACAGCTGTTTCTCTGAGGTGGTGGGCTGAGCTCATGCATCATGACACAGCAAAACTGTCTAGTGTGAAGGTGCTGTCCTGCATGTGGGCTCATTACCCAGTGCACAGTGCCGATTTACACACCAAGGTGAGGTATTTATGTGTTTTATTCTGATTTGTGCAAAGTAGGGAGCTGGGTGGCAACCCAGCTCACTGATCAAAAACCTTTACACTATTTATACGTTTTAACAGAGGCATCAGCATCCATTAGTTATATTACATAACTTTTCTATTAATTAGTACACGACCCCCTATTTGCTAGTTATATCTCTTGCTTCTCATGCTAATTAGTCTGAAAGCACAGTTTGTCCTTCCCTCCATTTGAGTCTGGGGTCTGTTTTGAGTAGATGGTCAATGAGTCAGTGGTCAAGAAGTTGGTGGTCATGATCACCCACTGCCAGAATTACCTTTCCCCAAGGTACTGCTCAGTTCTGCTGACTTCACTCCTGGTGGCTCCCATCCAGACAGCCCATTCATTTTGGGATTGTCTTCTCCTGTCATTAAAACAAAAGATTAGCCAAGCATATGATGCTCACAATGCAATGGCTTAATCATAACTGTCCTG